CCTTTTTAAGAAATTCATTTACTCATTCATTCATTCGTCCAACGACATGTTCACACAGTCTCTATCTGCGACTCAGTGGTGTCCAGTGCTTATCTGAGCTGGGGTCAGCCAGGGGACAAAGTCCTCGAGCCCCACAGAGGTGACATTCAAGGTGGGAGACAGGTAAGGGGCCAGTAAACCCATGAGGATCTCAGAGTGATAAATGTTCCAGGGGAACACTTTAAATGTCAGAAGATGTGCCCAGAGTTGGGGAGAGGTGGGGGTTCCCACATCACCCGGGCGGCGACAGAGTTAGGCTGGAAAGGGGTCAGTGAGTTCCAGGGGTGACGGGCAGGGGTCAGCACGTGCAAAGGCCCAGCACGCAGACAGCTGGGCCCACCTCCATCCCCACCTCTGGCACGAGGGGAACAAAGATGGGGTGTCCACAGCCTGTGCAGTGCAGGAATTTGGCAGGGAATTGCAAGGAGAGGTGGGAGGCCCCAACTCGCAGGCATCCTGGGCTACGGTGGAGTAGCTTTGCCTTTTTCTAAGTTTAGAGTTGCTGGAAGGCAGTACGCCGAGGAATGGCATCATTTGATTTTCCCAGTGCTAGGGACTGAACCTGGGCCTTCACACGGAGCTGCATGGCCAGCCCTCTTCACGTTTTCCTCTGAGACAGTGTCCTGCTAAGTTCCCTAGGTTGGGCTTGAACTTGCAAGCCTCCTGACTCGGCCCCACCACACCTGCCCAATTTAAATTTTTAAAAGCGTCTTGGTGTGGCAGGATGCTGGGGGGACTGGGACGAGCTGCAGACGGACCCACGGCTGCCCCCACTCACTCTCCTGCAGGCGTGGCGTGGGCTCCCGGGTTGTCACAGGCGAGCCTCTCGGCAGGTGGCTGGCAAAGGGCGCAGTGTGGTCCTCGTAGGTCAGTGGGCTCTGCCTCGGCTTACCCAGCTCAGGCACCACGACAGGGGCCCCGCGGGTGATGGAGCCCCCTGAACCCCCCGAGGCACCAGGCCGGCCTTTGAGGCTCTCCTCGTAGCAGACACGCTCGAGAGCCCGGGCGTCGGTGACCACATCGAGCGGGAGCATGGGCGGGAAGGTGCGGCCAGGGCTGCCGATGATGGAGCGCACATCATGCTTCTTGGAGCTGGCAGAGGACGCGCTGGTGTCGTACTTCAGTGGCGTGCCCTGGGGGTTGGGGGCGCCATGAGGCAGGAGCGTCCCAGGGATACTCAACCCTTCCATGCCACCAGGGACCGAACCCACTGAAGCTGTGAGCTAAGCTGCTCTCCTTCCTCTAAGTCACAGGCGCCGGGTATTCTGTCCTAGCAAAGGCAAGGGGACAACCCCGAGCCTGCAGGTGGCATCCCGGGCCCGGCCGCCTGTTCCCTGTAACGTGGGAGTGACACACCACACCCCCACGGGCAGGGGACAGACGGCCCTGCTGAGGGGAGAGGGTCACACTACCCCTGACCCGAGGCTGCCTGGGTGCCCAGGAAGGGGCAGAAAGCCCAGTGGAGACCCTGCGGGCGGCAGTGGGCCCTTGGGCAAACCCTCCACACACGGCGGCACTCTGGGAATTCAGCAGCAGAGCCTGGCTCCCCTGACCTGGGCCGTGGCCTTGGGCACTGAGCTTGGGACTGAGCTTCATGTCTGCTGGGCACAGAGACAGGGTCCCGGGCATGGAGCAGCCAGGACTCCGCCTCCACCACCGTCCTCTCTGCCAGCCTGGGACCCCGGACAGGGCAGGAGAGCATTCCCATCACCTTCAAGAGGAGACGCCCCCACCGCCAAAGGAACACGAGCGGCAGCCTGGCCCTGCCCAGGACACAGTGGGCACCGCCCTCGGCTGCGCCATGCTCGGGCTGAGAGCCCACCGTGCGCACTCCGCCGGCCCTGGACAGCGGTGGCCTCTCTGTCCTCCCCACCCCCACCCTTCTTCCCCTCCTTCCCATTGGGCTCCCGCGACCAGGGCGCCACCTGCAGGTGGGAGAAGGGGACGCTGAGAGGCACATGGTGCAGACTTGGGGCATCGCTTTGGGGCTTCACAGTCAGCCAGGGGGTGCTGTGTAACCCTGGGTGAGCTCCTCAAGGTCTCTGAACCTCAGTCTACTGACTGGCAAATCGGGGACGGGGAAAGAATCCCCGCCGCACTGCACATGGCCGCACCTGGGCAACAGAGCCCTCCCCACGTGGCAGAGCCCCACCTGGGTGATGGAGCCCTCCTTCAGTGGCCGTGGTGCCAGGGGCAGCTCGGGCGTGTGCCGCAGCTCCTCACGCGGGATCTCGTGCACGGAGCGGCCGGCCTCCTTCACTGTGGCCACCAGGCCCTCGGGGGCCGGCTTCAGCTTCAGGGGGCCCAGGGCATCCAGGGACCGGCCCTGGTAGGCCTCGGCCAGGTCACGAGGGGGCGGCGGGGAGCCCTCCCGCTTCAGCAGCTTGGCCTCGCGCCGCAGGGAGTCCTCCTGGGCCTCCACGTAGGAGCGTGGGATGCCTGCAGGCGGCAGGGGCGAGCTGACCCTGGCTTCCTGCCCGCCCGCCCAGCTGCCCGGGCCAGACCCTCCCCGTGCCTCGGGGCTCGGGCCGGCTGCTGTCTGGAGCCCAGGATTGGGTTCCTGGCAAGCTGGGCAGCTCTCACCGACTAGGAGGCGGGAAGGCAGGGCAGATCTGCCCGCAGTGCCTGCGCAGCCCCTGCCCTGTGCCCTCGGCTCACACTGGCACCTGCACACAGCAGGTGAGTGACGCTGCCAGGCCAGGGCGGCATCCTGCCCTCTCTGCCACCACACCCTCCCTCAGCTTCCACCCCCGCCAGCCGGTCACGGCCACCCGCCTCCCTCCAGCCCGGGGCTGGGCCGCGGGCAGAGGCAGCACCTTGCGTGATGGAGCCGCGCAGGTGGTGCTGCTCTTTGAGGTGGTGGGGGCTGTGACGCTCAGGCGGGATGGCGCGGCCCATGAGACCTGGAGGAGAGGGTGCGGGCATCACGGACTGGACGGGTCTGTCACCGCCCAGGGCAGCACAGGACCCCATCTGCTTCCCCACCCCGACCACCCTCCAGGGGGCACTGAGAGCTGGATCCTCTCCTGGACCCACTGTCCTGTGAGTGGGAAGACCTGGCTGGTGGCCCCGGGCCCCACGGCAGGGAGGTGAGGGGTGGCAGGAGTGTATGCACCCACCCTCGATGCCGGCAGAGGTGATGGCCCTGCCCACGCGGCCCTCCATCATGTCGTAGGTGCGCTTGGGCGCAGTGGGCTCATGGGCGGGTCCGGAGCTGCTCCTGCCATCCTCCTTGGAGCACTGGGACACCAACATGGCACCTGGAACCACACGGCATGGTGAGGGCCCTGCTGCCATGTGTGCACCCCATGGGCACCTGCATGGCCGGGTCTGAGCAGCGGGGTTTGCTGCTTTGGGGCCTGGCAGCTGCCAGGCTGAGGACACCCCTCCCGCATGTGCAGAGTCTGGGATCAGAAAGAAGCTGCAGGAGCCGCAGCCTCGCCCCAGCACTGAGCCCTGGCTTCTGCTCCTGCATTTGTAGCTCAGGAATGGGCACCTGGAGGGAGCTGGGCTGACGCTGCCCACGGAGCCGTTGGGTTTCCCCACTGATTCGGAGGCCCTGGACGCAAATAAGAGGCCCCACAGCCGTCCTAGCCGTGGCAGTGAGAGCAGATTCAAAAGTGACAACGGAGGCTGCTGAGCCCCGAGCTTCGATTCTACCCAAGACTGGTAGGACACAGGCCGACCGCCCACCACGCCTGCTGCTGGGGGTCCCCAGCACCACACCCCCGCACTGTGCAGGGAGACCTGCACCTGGCCCCAGAAGAGGAGAGGGGCACAGCTGCCAGCACCAAGGGAAGACCTAGCTGGCCTCACCTGCACCCACACCCACCAGGAAGCTCGGATCCTACCACCGGATCCCCTAACCCTACCCAGGCTCCCTGGATCTGGAGCCCAGACCCTGGAACGGCAGGGTTGAGGCACAGAGCTGAGGCCAACATGACCCGCAGCCGGGTTGCGCCCTTTGGAGACAGTGCGGCCACTGCCTCTCACACGGTGTCCAGGAGGGTCACGCAGAAGGACGCCGGCATGGCTGTGCCCCATCTCCTCTCTGCCTGCTCTTGGGCCAGACCCCAACCTGGCTCCCTGGCTCCTTTCTAACCAGCTGAGGCACGGCCTGTGGTGTGGGGACAGCCCGCTGGGGCAGCCTGGGAGCTCACGGGGTGGGGACAGGGCCTGTTGCAAGTCCTCGTGGTGTCCCCAGGCCTGGCACAGGGCTGGTCCCAGGAAATGTCATGTGACCAGATAAGCTCTGCTCCCCGGTCCTCCCCGAGTCCCACCTGGGCACAGGGCTTGCAGCTCCAGAAGGGGTAAGGCCCTGCCTGTACCCTGGTGCTGCCGCCGCACCCTGTACTCACCCTCGTAGGACAGCACGTGGCCCTTCTTGCCCTCGTAGATGACGTGGCCCTTGGGCAGGCCGTCCTCACGGCCACGGTCCAGGCGGCCAGGGCTGTCCTCCCCCACGATCCTGGTGATGGTGCCCTTGTAGAGCACGTCGGCCGGAGTGCCCTGCGGGGTGAGGGCCTGTGAGCCCAGCCCAGGACCCCCCGACACCACTCGCCCGTCCCCTTCGGGTGCGGGGAGGCTCATGGGACTGCGGACAGGGCCTCCTGAGGGCCAGAGTGGGAGTGGGGGCCTGTCCCCCATGTGGGTTTCAGTCACCAGCATCTGCCAGGTGCCGGACCACGCATCACACACCTGGTTTTCGGCAGACCAGGACCGGGGCCCAGTCTGGGCCAACTGTGAAACAGCCCTCACCGTCTCGGGACTGGGACCACTGCGCTGGGGCACCCAGCCTGCACCCCTAGATGCCCCGAGGTGTGCCACCAGACATGGCCAAGACCTCCCACCCACACACAGAAGCACCAATGTGGAGGGAGCACGCAGACGGATTCACGCCGACCACAGGTGGCCGCACGGGGCCTCCCACCCAGTGACTCCCAAGGACATGAGTGGGGTGGTCCCAATGCAGCTCTAGTGTCGGACGGTCACAGGGGCCTGCGTACACCGCACTCTGCGCCTCGGTCTGCACTTCCACAAAGGGCATAGTTGATTCTGTGTCCCCAAATTCTGAGGGGCCCCCCAGGAGCAAATGGGTTCCGTGGCCCACATCGTGATCCTCCAGGAGGGGTGGCAGAACGCCCTGAACCCCTGGGCTTCCGGGCCCCCAGGGCATGGGCTGGGACTCCACATCGCCCTGCCACCTTGCAATACTGTGCTTAGGGCGGAGCACAGGAGGCCACACTCGGGAGGGCATGGGCAGGGAGGGGTGTCTGGCTAGGGAGGACAGGGCTGAGTGCACCTGTCACTGTATCTCACACAATCGTGAGGCCTCAAGTTCCACTGCTAATGTGCAGGTGGGTGTGCATCCAACACAAACACACCACTCTACCACATGCCGGGACCCACCCACCTCTCGGCCTGCATTCACTCTGCTCCCCAAGCTTCCTGCCCACGTACAACCTCCATGCTGGCCTAAGTGACTCCCAGGCATCTGCACTTACAGCATTTTACTGACAGCCCTGCGGCTACTCCTCCGCGTCACCCTGCTCAGCCACCACCGGGGCAGCACGGTCTGACCCACGCCTGGCACCACATAGGAGAGGCACCAGGCCCTGTGCCCAACGCCCCTGCACCTGGTACCTACGTGCGTGATGGAGCCACGGTAGGTGCCGGGGCTCTCGGGGGGCGCCCGCGTGCTGGGGATGCCCCGGGTGATGCTGCCGCCAAGCACAGAGCCCAGAGCCGTCCCTGGAAAACAGAAGTGGGTGGTGGGCTCTGTGCCCATCCTGGGCCTCCGGCCCAAGAGCGACCAGAGGTCCTGCTCAGGTCTCACGGGCAGTGGCTGGGGGGATCTGGGAGGCGGCACCGCCCACTGCTGCCCCTGCCTCCTGGGAGGCTTCAGGGACAGCGTGCGGCCTCACCTCGGAGCACGGACGTCTCCTGGGCTGTAGGCACGCCCAGGCTCTCGGAGGGCCCGGCCTGAGCCCGGGGGGACAGCTGCTCCTGCTTCACTCCACTGAAGGGCACTGGGGGCAGCAGCAAGAGGGTGAGCCCACACCCAGCAGGAAGCCTGCCCCCACCCCACCCCAACCGCCTGGGACCCCAGCTGTGCCCGAGTCCACCCCCAACCCCACACGGGCAGCCGGAGCCACTTGGGACCCCAGGTCCTCACCCAGCTTCTTGGGGTCCATGGTGAGGGGCAGCCCCATGGTGATGGGACCCACCGGGGCCTTGGCGTGCTCGGAGTAGGGGACGTGAAGCTGGACCGACATTCCCTGTGGGCAGAGGCAGGTCACAGCGCCCGCCGCACTCGACCACAGGGCAGCCAGCGGGACCCAGCCAGAAGCACACGAGAACGTGCTGGCCAGAGCGGGAGCTAGAGCTGGGCTCTGTGCCTGCTGCCTTGTTTCATGGGAGCCCAGGAGGTGAAGCCACTTGCCTCAGGCCACACAGCCTGGTCCCAGAGCCCTCGCTCCCCGGGATGGCCCATGTCCGGCTCCAATGGCTCAGAGGCAGCAGCCAGCTGCGCACGGTGACGCCTGCTCACCTGGGAGACGGCACACATCTGCCGCTCAAGGACACCAGGGTGCTTGGCAGAAGAGATGAGGGGCGGTGGGTTGGAGATGGTGGGCGGGCGCGGGGGGCCGGGCCGGGCACCGTCGTGCACACCCAGGGGCAGCGGGTGACCTGCAGGGCACAGGGCTGTCTGCAGGGGACCATGCATCGTCCCCCCACGGCCGCTAGGGGCGCTCTGCACACATTTCTGCACCCAGCCCAGGGGCCAGGTTCCCATTCAGACCCAGGGCCCCTGGCACCTCCTCCACCCACTCCACTGCTCAGGCCCTGTGCAGCCCTCCAAACCCATGTCCCTGTTCTCAACTTCACCCCTCAGGAGTCAACTGTCCTCATGGCAGCCAAAGAGATCTCTTCAGAAGTCTGCAGCTCACACCCTCCTCCTGCTGTGAACTATCGATGGCTCCCTACTGTGTTCAGGGTAGTGTGACCCCCGACATGGCTCCTGAGCTCCCTATAATGGGCCCCTGTGGCTGCCCCCAAGCCACTGTCATGACAGCCTGGTTGGGTCCTCAAGCTTCACCCACTCCTTCCTGCCTCTGGGCCTTTGCACATGCCGTCCCCCCACTGGGCGTGCCTTTCCTGTCCTCGGGGCTCCCCAGGCACCTTCTTCACCTGGGTCAGCCCTGGCCAAGCCCAGCAGGCCTGGAGAACCCAGGACACCCTCAGACCTGGCCTCGTAGCACAGGCATTGGGCACCAACTGTTTGTCCTGGCTCAGAAGCACACGGGGAGAGATCCTAGAGCTGATGGGCCAGATGATCTACTGGGGGCGGGGGGCTAAGGTTTTCAGAAACCTGCAGAGCTAATGCATGTGAGGCAGTAGGGAGCCAATGGGGTGCCTGAGCCTGGGACAGCAGGTGAGCATCTGTCTCCTGAGCAGGGCAGGCAATGGGAGAGAAAAACTCAGAGGTGCTGTGGGCCTGTGTGTGGTCGCCCAGGAGCCCAGTCAGCAGTCACTCACCAGGGGGAGCGTAGGAGAAGGCAGAGGGGTCCGGGGCGTGCGGGGAGGCCTTGATCACCTCACGAGGGGGCATGGGGAAGGGCAGGCCCGCTGTCCAGCAGGGCAGCTCCACGGGCAGCTTCTGGCCCTCAGCCGCGAAGGCCGGGAAGAACGTGGGCTTCTCTGCTGGGCACACGAGGTGGGCGGGAGGTCAGGTGGTGCCTGGCTGCCCCTGAGGACCCCACAGCCCCGCCAACCCAGGATGGGGTCCCGGCTGCAGCCTGGAGGCCTTCGATGGCCTGGGTGCTGCCCATGTCCCTGTGATGCCCCAAAAGACACAGGAACTGACACGAGAGTCTTGGTTGCCCCTGAGGATGCTGGACCAGAGGTGCAGACTTGTCTCAGCCAACATGCACACGTGTCGGGGCCTGAACCCAACTGGCTCTCTGGTGCCACTACAAGCATGGGCTTGTCCACCCTCCGCCGCCTCCAGGAAACGACCTCGATGCCCCAGTCTGACAAACGGAAGCTGAGCAGGTCCACCCATCGGGCCAGGCCAGGCCTGCACTGCCACGGGAAGGGCAGGGGTGTGCCAACCTTCGCCCTCGGGCCTGGGGAGTCCCATGGGGTCTGCGGCTAACAGCTGTCCCCTGCCTGGAGGCTGCCCAGGAGGACCACACTGGGGAAAAGCCGGCTGAGAGGTGGGCACAGACACCGACTGGGAAGAACAGCGCTTCAGCCCCAGGACCAGGTTCCTGAGCCACCTCCAGGGAACCAAACACCCCTGTGGGGTGAGGCAGGAGAGCATGGAGATCCACTGGCAAGGCCCCTGGGCTGCCCCTGAACTTGTGCTGGCAGTGGCAGGTGCAGGGCTGATGGTGTGGGGATCCATGCTCCCTGCCGGCCCCCAGGGGAAGTGGCCGTACTGCAAAGCCTGGCAGCTCCGGGACCCGGCCTGTGTGCTCAGGCACGAGGGGCCTCAGGGGTGGACAGGCATCAAGGCCAGGCAGCTGGGAACCTGAGGGGCAGGCAGCTTGTTCCTCCGCAGGTCCCAGAGGAGCCCAAGGGATCAGCGTGGCAGAGCCGGGGCACATGGGAGCCAGGTGGGCTCTTCCTGAGAGCAGAGAGGCAGCGCTGGGTGTCAGGGTCATGCTCCCGGGGCCTGTGCAAAGCAGGCCATGTGACAAAGGCTCTGGTGCCTGAAGCCAGGTGCACTGGCCCCACGGAGAGTGAGGCCAGGAAACAGCGCGGACCCACCCACACTGATGTTCCAGGCCCCTCGCCAGCTCGGAAACCAAGGGCTGCAGGCTCCCATTCCCTGTGTGTGGCTGGCCCTGCAGCCGCTGGCTGGCCCCAGGCGGTCCTGGCTGGGTTTGGAGCCCACACCCCCACCTCCCGCTGTCCTGCAGTGTCCTTCTGAGCCCTATGTCTCCCCACAGGGGCTCTGCGAAGCCCACCCCTTGCTGGGGTGTCACAGCCCAGCAGCTGCACCTCGGAAATGAACTCTGAATCCATCCCCTCCTCCCACCACCTGCAAAGTCCTGGCTGCCTCTGTCGCTGCCTGGGAATAGCGCTGGGCCTTCCGCTTCTACACTCAGTCCCTGAGGTCCTCTCAGTTTGACAGGAACCAGAGCGAGGTTTCCGAGACGGATCAGATTGCGCCCCCCGCCCCACGCACACCTAAAAGCCTTCCAGCAGCGGGGGTCCTCTCCTCCTGACCTGAAACCCTCTCTCCTACAGCCCATGAGGCCTGGCATCATCTGGCCCCACTTCCTTCTCTGACCTCTGCCACCCCATCAGCACCTCCCCATAACCCAAGCCACCTCTTCCCCAGGGCCTCTGCACATACTGTGCGGGCTGCACAGAGCACCAGCTGCCTTCTTCCCACGCTTCCTGCCCTGCCCAAAGCCCCCTGTGCCTGCCATTGCCCAGGGCCCGAATCTCTACTGCCCAGGTAGGGCTGGGCCAACATGGGTGTCCCGGCCCAGTGGCCTTGGGCTACCCTAGGTGCTGCGAAAATGCCTGTGTGGAAGGCCTCAGACCTCCTGCAGCAGGCGAGGAGCCGTTTGGGGACAGCTCTGCTCTCTGTCCTGGGACAAGTGTTCAACTGCTGGAACCCAGAGGCCCTGTTGCCCTTGGATGCCTGCAACGGCTGGCAGGAGCCTGGGCAGCTCCGGTGGGGATGCCGTGTGCCAACAGCACTGGCCATATGCCAGGCTGACCCAGGCAGGTAACTGCTGGGGACGCGAGCTTGGGGTGCCTTGGGACCAGGGGGCCAGAAATGGGCGGCCCTGGGGCCAGCACCTGGGGCAGAGCTCCACCCAGTGACAGGAGGGCTGCTGGCATCACCCCAGGGGCCCCAGGAGGAAGCCACTTCCGGTCACCACCAGCCCCAGAAGCCCTGTATGGACGGCCTCGCTGAGCCACGCTTCCTGGGCAGGGCAGATCCACCAGAGGCCACGGGGCCCCACTGCAGACCAGATGCCACCCCCACCGTGCACCACAGCCCTGCTGGCCTCCCGCCTTGGGCTTGGCCGGGCGATGGCCTGATGCCAGCCCGCCTGTTCACTCACCCTCCTTCTCGGTGGGGGGTGCGGGGCTCCTGCTGCTGCCCCGGGGGCTGCTGCTGGGCTGCTGGGAGGTGCCGCTCTCGGCCTGCAGGTGCTGCGGGGCTGGAGGGGCCGCAGGAGCCAGCAGAGGGGCTGCTGCATCCTCCTGGGAGGGCTCATGGGCCTTGGTGACCTGTTGGAGGGAGCCGGTGCAGACGGCATCCAGGGTCACAGATGTGGCCCTGGGCGATGGGCCCAGGGCAGCCAGGGACTCCGGTCACCAGTGGGGCCAAGGGTCCTGGCACAGGGAGTCACCCACCTCAGAAAGGGGCTCATCCTAGCTGCCCAGCTCCGGCCCTGTGCCCCAAATCCCTTGGAGGACTCAGAGCTGCCGGGGTCCTGAAAGGTGCCCCTCAAAGGGTCCCCCACAGGCCCAGGATCAGAACTGGGGGCTCCCACACATCCGGCTGAGGTGCTGTTACACCCCAGGGGACTTCCTGACTCCTCCTCTCCCCCTGGTCAGGGGGCTCAGGAGCCCACTGGGGGTGTACGAGAGAGAAGACCCTGCCCCTCCGGCTTCCTTCGCTGCCCTGCCCCGCCCGTCCCGAGGAGACTTCTCCAGGAAGCAGGTGCCAGCGCAGAGCAGCCATAGATACAGTCCCCAGCCCACCCTGCTGTACCCCAACACTCACGATGGGGGGGATGGCGGCTGCACGCTGCTTCAGCTGCTTCAGGTCCAGCGGTTTCTGGGGTGAAGCGCTGGCCCTGGGGTCACCGGCTGGAGTGAGGAGGCTGGGCCTTGGGGACAGCAGCCTGCAGGGAGAGGCACGTCAGGCCAGATCCCGCCTTTGGCAGATTCGGGATGAGCAGGACGCCCTGGGGCAGGGCCCAGCCTGTCACCATGGCCCTCAACCGGTGCAGGACAGAGGCCCCAAGAGGGGGGGTGAGCGTCCAGGGCCCCCCAGCCAAGGCTGAGGGATTGACTGGAAAGCGCAGACTCCTCCAGGCCCCACCTGCCCCGCTAGGGCCCAAATGGCCTCCGACCCAGCCAGGGGCCCGGAAGCCAGGCATGGTCGGGGCCAGGCCAGGATCCAAAGTCCCCAGATGGCCACGGGTGGGAAGATCCCGGAGAAGCCAGAGCCGGCACCTAAACCACAGGCCTCCAGGAGCGGACCGGCCGCCGCCAAAGACTCAAGCAGACAGAGGCGGAGGGGAGATTCCGGGAGACAGGGCAGGGCTGTGGCCACAGAGCCAACTCAACCCCACTACAGGGACCGGGCAGCAGGGAGCCATGCCCCGCAATGGAATCCCTTGTCCTTGTGCCCCACGTGAGACGGAAGCAGAGGGCCACGGACTTCCTGTGCCCTAGCGGGCACAGAGACAGCACTGCCACCTGCCGCTGAGGACCCCCCAGGGCCACAGCGGCTGCCACCTTCAGGAAACCACAGAGATTTCCAGGAACTCCCCACGCAGGCACAGTGACTCCACCAGGGGACACAGAACCTGGCCTCTGCCCCAGGGCCCTGAGCAGTCGGCTCAGAGACCGACACTGGGCAGGACAGCAGCCAGGGGCCTGGAACCCGACCAGAGGGCACAGCTGAGGGAGGCACCGACCACACACACTGACGACACACACCAACGGCAGCCACAGACACTGCTCTGAGGCAGGCACGGCGACGACAGGGACACAGCTCAGGCCGTCTGTGCAGAGCCCAGGCCGCCTCCTGGAGGATGGGGCAGGGCTGACGCAGGGTGTGCAGAGCCCTGCGGGTGCCCGCCCTCCTCTCTCTGCCGTGGCAGGATCGAGGCATGTGACAGGCCATCGCTGCGGGTACCGGCCCCCCACCCCCACCTGCCACATGCTCGGCTGAGCGGGAGCAGCAGGCAGCCGGGTGACGCCTGCTGAGTCTGCCCACGGCCTGCAGGTGGGGCCGGACGGAGGAAGGTCACCCTGACCCCCACATGCTGCCAGCCCCTGCCCACCTGCTTCCCTCCTCCTTCTGCTGCTGTCCAGATTCAGCTCTGCCAGGAGCACCCTGAGCCTGCGCTTGGCTGCACGCTGTGCCTCCTGGCTCTCCAGCCTCCTGCTACACTTGCCCCCCTCTGGCCAAGTGCCCCAAGCTGGGGCCACCGGAGGCGCCATCCCTGTCCTGGACCTGGAGGCTTAGGTAGCACCTTCTCCTCCCCCACTCACTGTGCTCCCTGTACCCTGGCAGGCGCTGCAGCCCTGCATCTGACAGGGAACCTGACAACTACGCCGGAAGACAGGTGGAGAGTACACTCCCCAGCCATCCCTGCAAGCTGCCATTAAGCCAGCTCCACAGCCAGATGAGGATCCAGGCAAGAGCGAGAACCACAGGCCTAGCTCTCTAACAAGTATCGATTTGAAAATCCTCCACAAGGTACTGGTAAACAGTGCAGCAAATCATCAAAAAGATCATAAACCAGGACCAAGCAGGCTTCATCCCAGGGATGTAGGTGGTTCAGCACATGCAAACCAATAAACGTGTGACAAGAGTCATACAAACATCTCATAGACACAGAAAACGCCTCTGGCAAAATCCAACGTCCATTTACGATTAAAAAAAAAATCAAACACTGAAGAAAACAGGTATACAAGGACCTTACCTCAATCCAGTAAAAGCCATTTATGACCAACCCACTGACAACATTGTACTACATGGGGAAAACTGTAAGCCTTCCCTTTAAAATCAGAACCAAGTCAAAGATGCCCTCTGTCACCATTCCTGTTCAACCTAGCACGAGACATTGGTCAGAGCAATTAGGCAAGAAAAAGAAATAAAAGGGATACGTACAGGAAAGGAAGAACGTCAAGTTACCATGATTTGCAGATGACATGATCCTCTACACAGAAGAACGCAAAAAATGCACCAAAAGACTCACTGAATAACCAAATTCAGCAAAAGAGAAAGATACAAAAATCAATACACAAAAACCAAAACACTCTTGTACACCAATAATGAACCTACTGAGGAAGAGATTAGGGGGAATGCCATTCACAATAGCACCAAGAAAAATGATATACTCAGGAATTAACGTAAAAGTGAAAGATCTCTACAATAAGGACTATAGTACTCTGAAAAAAGAAATCAAAGAGGACATCAGAAAAGGGAAAGCTATCCCCTGTTCCTGGATAGGCAGAACCAAAAGCTGATACACAGATTTAATGCAGTACCAATCAAAATTCCAACAGCATTCTTCACAGAACTGGAGAAAACTACCCTGAAATTCATACAGAACCAGAATAGCAAAAGCAATCCTGGGTAACAAGAGCAAAGTAGGAGGCATCACAATCCCCAAGTTATACTATAAAGCTACAGTGATTAAAACAGCATGATACCGACACAAAAACAGACCTGAGGATCAATGAAACACAACAGAAGATGCAGAAACAACCCCAAGCACATTCAACCATCTGATCTTTGACAAAGGGGCCAAAACCACACACCAGAGGACAGACAGCCTCTTTAATAAACAGTGCTGAGAAAACTGGCTGTCCACGTGCAGAAGGTTGAGTCTAGACCATGTATTTCTCCATGTACTCAAGTAAAATCAAAACGGACCAAAGACCTCAATGTTAAAACAGATACATTAAACCTGCAGAAAATAAAATAGGTGAAACACTTGAAGTCACAGGTGTAGGCAAGGACTTTCTGAAAAGAACCCAGCTGCACAGGAAATAGCACCAAGAATCAACAAATGACATCACAGCAAATTAAAAAGCTGCACAGAAAATAATCAGCCAACAGAATGAAGAGACAACCCACAGAACGGGGAAAAAAATTGCCAGCTTCTCCTCACATCAAGAATATAAAAGGGGGCCCAGGGATTTAGCTCAGTGGTCCCACCACCTGCCTTGCAATTGCAAGGGCCCAAGTTCAATCCCTGGGACCAAAAAAAAAAAAAAAAAAAAAAAAAAAATATATATATATATATATATATGTGTGTGTGTATATATATATATATATATATGTAAATATATATATATGGAACTGAAAAAATTAGATTCCCCCAAAGTAAAGACCCAATGAAAAAGTGGGCAAACAAGATGAATAGATGCTTTACAGAATTAGTATAAATGGCCAATAAATACATGAAGAAATGCTCAACATCTCTAGCCATTAGAGAAATGCAAATTAAAACAACACTGAGATTCCACGTCACTGCAGAAAAAATGGCTATCATAAAATAATGACAGATGTCGGTGAGGCTGTGGCAAAAAAGGAGCCCATCTACACTGTTGGTGAGAAGGTAAACTAGTACACCACTGTGGAAATCAGTGTGGAGGCTCCTCCAAAAAACTAAAACCAGAAATCCCATTTGACCCAGCTATTCCCTGTCTTGGTATCTTCTGGAGAGTTCAAGACGTCATATTATAGGGATCCATGGACACCTACGTTTATAAAAACAATTCATAACAGCTAAACGTTGAAAGCAGTCTCGGTCCATCAATAGATGAAGAGATAAAGAAAACACGATATTTACACACCATGGAATACTACTCTGCCAAAAAGAAGGATAAACTTGACTCATCTGTAGAAAGTGGATGCACCCTGAGACCACAATGTTAAGTGAAATAAATCAGACATACAAGCTTAAATGTTGCATGGTTTCTCTTACATGAGAAGCCCAAATTGGAAATAAAAAGCAAAATAAAAGACAGGTAGGGCAGTAAGGAGACAGCTTTATCAAATGGGAAGGGCCCGAGAGATGGAGGGAAGAGAGAGCGGAGGGGAAGCAAAGAGAACTAAGACCACTATGAGTGTGCACCAACCCCACGGTGTCATCACCGTACCCTACAAACGTGGACTTTTTAAAATGAAAAATAAAATAATGGAAAAAAATGTTTTAAAGAGAGATGGAGGCCCGAGGGTTCAGCCGCCGCATGGGCAGAAGGAAAGCAGGAAGGCATCACTGACCAGGCCACCTGACCAAGCAAGAGGACAGAGCCGGGCGGGAGGCCCAGGGACCCACGGCAGCCCAGGGAGGTGAGCTCAGCAGTGCGTGCGCCCCGCTCCTGCCACACTGAGCACGGAGAGGCGCAGCCGGCAGAGCGAGCTGTCCAAGGAGCGGCTGTATTTTCCTATGAACGGTAAAAACAGGAACACGCTCTATTTCCTATGTGTGTAAAAGCGCAAAAGCACTAAAATACAAATCTCTAAGTTGAGATTCAAACTCGTGCCTGCGTGTAAATACGCCTCTACGGAGATATGAAGTCTATTTTTACAGCATGTTTAAAATAGTCCTTGCGTTGCCCCACAAGGACTGGGCACTGGGGCTGTCGATACAGGGCCTTAGTGCTCTCTTTCCTCAGTTTCCCAGGGGCTCCTCCCCCAAGCAGGAGGATGGTCAGATTGGCAGGGGCTGTGGGCAAGGCCTGCCTCTAACTCGCCACCACCAGCCACTTGGAGCCCAGGTCCCTTTCTATCCGAGACAAGGTCTTAATGTACTCCAGGCTGACTTTAAACTTGCTACAGGGCTTTGGGCTGGCCCAGAAATAGCAATCCTCCTGCCTCAGCCTCCTGAGTGCTGGGATTACAGGCATGCACCACCGTGCCTGGCTAGACCTCTCTTTAGTGAGTGCCTCCACAGTGGAGCAGAGCAGGAGGAGCCTGGGGCACGCGCAGCACAAGGCGGGGTACAGGAGGCCTCTGGTCCCAGCTGGGCCTCTCAGGGGTGAGGGGGAAGCACCCAGCACAGGGGTCCGGGTGCAAAGCCCAGGCCTGCGGGGCTGGAGTCCCAGGTGGTACGGTGGCCGGTGGAGGCCAAGAGTGCAGAGGAGCTGGCACTCAGAGCCTCACATCCCCAGGCGGCCCGGCCTCTCCTGCCCTCGCCCTTGCTCTCCGGGAAGACAGCTTTTATTTCCTCTCCAAAGGCCAGAGGGGAGGGGCTGGCAGGGCCTGGCACGGTGCCCGAGATGGAGCGGCTGGGCTGCCACCCACGCCGTGCTGCAGGTTCACCTCCTGGGGTAAGGGTATCTTGGTTTCCCCCCTGGAGAAAGGGAGGCAGGGGTACCACCCTGGGAAGGCCACACTGGCCCAGGAGGGTCAGCAGATACCCGCTGGGCACCCATGCACCTGCGTTGGGTTAACGAGGCTGTGCTGACACTGAACAGGGTGTCCTCGTTCAGCCCACTGGTGGGAAACTGAGGCCGGGAAGGGACTTTCCCAGGCTGCCTGCCAGGAAGTGCAGAGGCCCCTACTCTGGGACGCGGGATGGGGCGGGCAGGTGGCCAGGGACCCGCGATCAAAGCCTCTATCTCTGGTCACCTGCCAGGCTGACCCGGGCAGCACCGCCTGGGGGGCCAGAGCGGGCGATGTTCTCCTGGAGTGTTGGCCAGAGGCCAGGCAAGCCCTGTCTTGCGCTGTCCGGGTCACAGAGTTCACTGGGCTGGGGTGTTGGGCGGGCAGCCAGGCCCTGGGGTTGCGGGGCCCACCCGTCCTGGGGCGCGCTCTGACGCATCTCGCTGTGTCCCCTGACGCCGCCTGGCCCTGCGCAGTGGCTGGTGCAGGGAAGGGGCAGGCTGTCTGCCAGGAAAGGGTCAGCCGGAGTCCAGCCCTGCTCCCCCGGAGGACGAGGCAGGCCCCAAGGCGGGGAGTGGTTGGGGCAGGCGGGCGTGGCGGCCAGGTGTCCTCACTCCTAGCCCAGGGCTGTGTCCCATGGGGGCTGCGCTGGACATCAGGACAGGGTGGACACACGCCAGACCCAGCTGGGAGGAAGGATGCGTCCCTGGACAGGGTGCTGGGGAGAGGCCAGAGGCTGCAAGCACCAGGCAGCACCTGGCTCTCTCCAGCGCTGCAGGCCTCGTGTGTCCTGGGCAGGATTCCGCCTAGCAGCACTAGCTCAGCTTCGCACCAGGGCACGAACATGGGTCCGTGAGGTCCCCAGCCAGCAGGGATGGGGTGGGGTGGCTCGCTAGACACACAGAACCTGGCTGGCCGCACTTGGAGCACTGCTGGGCTTTGAGAAACAGAGACTTGGGGCCCTGACAAACCTGCTGGCCCGGCTGTGTCCCCCGGGGCACAGGCCAAGGAGAGAGTCCCACCGGCGGGGGACATGCAGGTCACTTTGGGGTGAGGAACTCGGGGCCCCAGGCAGATGCAGGCAAAGGCAAGGGCTCCACCCAGAAAGAAAACAGAGCACACTGTTTAGAGTCAAAATAAGGGGATGCGCCTGCGCCTGCACCTGCACCTGCCTCTGGAACAGCCCGGCATGGTGCATGTGGGCAGGGCCGGGCCCTGTTCTCCCTCGGCCACCACACGCACCCAGTCAGGTGATGACCCGGGGAGCCCGAGTGGAAAACGGTTAAAATGTGGCACGCCCAGGCCAGGGCAGGGCCCACACCAAGCAGACGGGAGGAAAGGAAGAAACCCGAACAGGCTGGTGCGGGGTCGCCCAGCCGGCTTCTCCCAGGAGCACCCCGGCCTACTGTCCCCCCAGAGCCATGGCTGGAGGGGCTGGTGACAGAGCACCCAGTCTCAGATCTGCAGCTTTCCCTGGCCCCAGTGCCCCAACACCCAGCACCTCCGTTGTCATCCTGGGCACAACTGTGGTCACCTCCTGGCTGTGCACGCGGGGTCAGAGGCCGAGTCCCAGCCCAGCGCTCGGAGCCCCAAGGCTTCCCACTGCCCCAGACGGGAGAAGCGGCCCGCCCGGCCTGCAGCTCCGGAGCCAGGCCTGGCCACCTGGGGCCTCTGCACCTGCCACTCCCGGGTGCAGCGTGGAGGGCAGGATCGGGCCTCTCCGTCCATGCCCGACCCGGGACCCCAGCGCGGCCTTGTAAGGAAACAGGTGCCTACGGGTGTGACCGGTGAGAGGGCCCGGCCAGGCCTGCAACGGGCCGTCCGTCTCACAGGAAGGAGCCCGGACAGACACACGGGGAGAGGGCGCTGTGGCCCTGGGTGGTCCTGGGGCTTCCACGGACCTGGCTGTCCGGCTCTGGCCATGCTCACCTCCTTTTGTCGCCTCCCTCCGGCTCATCCACCTCATCGGCACTGCAAGTGGCGCTGGAATCGCTGTCCTGCGGGGCAGCTGAGCCCCTGGTGGCGGGGCCTTTGCCACTGGGGCCTTCCTTCTTCTCAGCCTTGAGCGGGCCCTCAGGCACCAGTGGAGCCTCGTCCATCGCCCCCTTGTCCTGGGCGCCCACGGGGCCCTCCGCTGTGCACTCGCTCTTGGCTAGCTCCTCGGGGGCTGCGTCGGCCTCCTGCATCTTCACCGGGGCCCCCGTCAGCTCCTCCGTGGGGGGCTTCGGCCCCTCCCCATCCTCAGCTGGGGGCACCATGGTGGACGCCTCCTCCTCCCCGTCCTCCTCCTTCTCCTCCTCCTCCTTGGGGACCATAGCAGTCGGTGCGGCGGGCGATGAGGGGACTGCTGGGGATGTGGGGGGGCCGCTGGCCTCAGGGCCTGGGGCAGACTCAGCAGGGGCTGGGGTGTCCTCTGGCGGCGGTGTGGGTGGCTGGGCAGGGGGCCCATCGGGGGCCGGGGCGGGCAGGGGCTGGGGTCCATTGAGCCCCGGCTCCCTGGCAGCATCAGCGGCTCGCGGGGAAGGGACGCTCTCGGTGTCCGAACTGTGGTTGACAGTGGCTGCCCAAGGCGAGAGACAGAGGGTAAGAAATGCAAACGCACCCCAGAAGAGCCCAAGGGCCACATGCCTGCTGCCTTGCCTGGCACCCAGCCCTGAGACTGAGCCCTGGTGGCACCAGGGGTGACCCACGGGGTGGCAGCTGGCAGGTTCCTGCGGCCGCACCCTCTTCTGGGGGTTCCCGCTCTCTCCCGGGCCTCACCCCGGGGCTGCTCAGAAGGGCTGCACACCGAGGGACACAAAGGCCATTCCTGGCCTCAGTTTCCCCGTCTGTAGTGCGGACAGAACCCTGGTCCTGCCCTGCTGGGCGGAGACAGGGAGCAGAGAGCAGGGGGCGTTGTGCCATCATCATGGCCACCAGGGACATGGCCCACCACACCCCTGGCTGGCTTTGGGGACGCAGGCCCCAGCCAGGGCAAGGGCACCCGGCTCCAGCCCTAAAACCCCCTCTGGCCTTGTCTTGGGGCTCAGTGTGCCCCCGTCTGTGAGATGCAGACACCCAGAAACCAGGTCACCAGGCAAGGTGGCGCAGGAGCAAGCTCCCGGGCCAAGCCCCGGAAAAGCGCAGGTGGCAGGTGCAGAGGGTTCTCCCGGGAGGGGCTGCCCACCCCGCCCCAACCAGATCCGTACCTGGGCCACTGCATTCCCCTCTGGGGACCTCGTTCCCGGGGGCCGGCAAGGCTGGAAGGAAGTTACAGAAGAGTCAGAGGCGTGAGGCAGCCAGCAGCATGGAGAGGGGAGGCTGGGGAGGGCCCGAGTCCTCACCCCATGCACAGGTGGGCAAGCCGAGGCACGGCGTGCGCAGGGTGCCCAAGGCCTCCCAGCAGGGACAAGGCAACATCCACCCTGGGGATCCTCAACCCTGGCCGCCGGCCATCCCGCCCTGCTGGTGACAGCCATGTGGCTCCCGGGGTGGGGGTCTTGTCCAGGTCCCGTGGGTGGCAGGCGCTGACACCAGCTGTCAGGAGGCCCGTGGGGCGCCCAGGGGCTGACAGCTCAGGGACACTGCCACCCCTCAACACAGAGAAGGGAGGGCAGAGTTCGAGGACCACACGTGCTACGTGTGCCCGGACCCTGGCACGGGGCTGCAGACACAGCGGGCGCCGGAAACCCCGCAAGGACGGGAGAAAGGCAGAGGCCTCAAGGCCGCGTCCGCCCGGCGCCTCACCGCCACAGGGCCCCAGCCATCGGGTCTCGGCCCAGGGCACCCTGGGCAGGCAGGAGGGGTGGCCGGAGGGGTGACTGGGAGCCCCGCGTGTGGGCTGGGGACTCCCCGACCCCGGTTAGATACACACCCGCCGCGGCCCCACCGTCAGTGACCCTCCCGGCCCAGCCCGGCCCCTGCTCCTTCCCAGGTGTGACCCCACAGGGACAGGCGCTCACGGCGGCCCACTCCTTCAGCCCCTGACCCCTGCCCTTGGCTCCCATTCCTTCCAGACGAAAGGCCCGGTGGGGACCCCTTCGCCCGGCCCAGTCGCAGCCAGCGCAACCCCTGGCAGGAGGAATGGGCTCCAGAACCCAGGCCTGAGTTGACGATGCCAGCTGGGGGCCCCACCACCTATGTGCCCCAGAGATGGGGACCAGGAGGCGGACAGCACACAGCCCGCACGGCCAGGCCCAGTGTATCCCCCTTCACCACACGCAGGGGCCGGAGGGCCAACGCGGAGGCAGAGGCAGGGACACCTCGGCCTCCTTGGGGACAGGGTGGGACAAAGGTGGTCGGAGTGGCCACAGGGCCGGAGCCTGGGTTCAGACACCCCCAGCAGCCGGCTCTGTGAGGAGGTGCAGGAGTGACAATCTCCTCCCCCGGGCAGCTCCTCCTTCCACCAGCGGCACGGAGTGGCCGGGCCTCCCTCCCGCGCTGTCACCTTTCTCTCTCTCTAGCCGCCTGAGGGGGGCCTCTCGGGGACAGGGCCCACACTGGGTCTGACCCGGCCCTGAGCAGAGACGCTGACCTGCCTGGGCCTCCGGTACCCACATGGTCCATGGGGACAGTAGGCAAGGGGAGAGCACCACACATCACGTGATGTGCGTACTAGCTGTTCTGTTCCTATCAGTGAACTTGTAAATTAATCCTGGGCAAAACTATTTTCAAAGGTAAACTTTATAACTTGGTGTGGTGGTGCACGCCTGTGATCCCAGCACTTGGGAGGCTGAGGCAGGAGGATCGATGCAAGTTCTAGGCCAACCTGGGCTACACAGAGATCAAGAGCAGCTTGAACTGCACAATGAGACCCTGTCTCAAAAAAAAAAGAGCCGGGGATTTAGCTCAGTGGTTCCGGCGCCTGCCTCGCAAACGCAAGGTCCCAAGTTCGCTCCCCTAGTACCAAAAAAAAAAAACCGAGTGCATTCTTAGGCTCCAGTGGCACACATCTGGCATCTCAGCCCTCTAGGAGGCTGAGGCAGGGAGATCTCAAGTTCAAGCCAGCCTGGGCAACTTAGTGAAAAACCTGTCTCAAAATAAAAAAAGGGCTGGATGTGTCACTCAGGGCGAAGGTCTAGGTTCCAACCTCAGCGCCACAAGAGACCAGTTGTCAACAAGGCTGTCCTGGACCTATGGTCACTGGTGTGGGGGCTCAGGACAGTGTAGGCGTGACGCCCTCTGGAGAGGCTGATCTCGACTCCCGTCGTGGCTGCCACTGCCCCTCCCCTCATTCACACAGGTGATGCTCTCCCTTGGTGAGGGAGGCCCAGGTGGACTGGAGAACAGAGCTAAGAGGTCGCTTCCCACCCTCTCGCAGCCCGGTAGCTGCCCCTGCACCTGCCCTCACCTTCCACCTCCTCAGCCATCTCTTCCTCATTCCCACTGGCACCCGATGCCTCCATCTCCTCGTCCTCCACCACGGGTGGGAAGGCGGCCTCCTCGATGGCTGTGGCTGGCGCTTTCTTCTTCTTCCTCCGTGCGTTCCTCTCCTTCTCCTGGGCACAGGACGGCAGGAGTGACTGCCGGGTCTGGGCTGCCTGCCCGGGGACTCCTCACGCCTCAGCAAGGCCTCGGAGGCCAAACATACAAATGGCTATTTTTACCCAGGACTTCATTCTCTGCCATGTCCTGGACACACCCTGGGCCCTCAACATCCCGGAGGCTGAGACTGCCCCAGCCCTGATGCCACCGTCAGCCCACACGCCTCACCAAGCTCCCCAGGACTGACCAGCCCTGAGAGAGGACTCTGGGTGGACAGAACAGTCAGAGGGCTTCCGTGGGGTGGTGACATAGAACTGAGCGTGCAAAGGCCCTGTGGTGTCAGTGACAGAGAACTGCAGAGCAAAGCCTTCCACACAGACTGTGGACAATAGCACCCTCCCTCAGGCCTCGGGCTGGGCAGCGTTTGTCAAGTGGCTTACTGAGCACCTCCCAGGCTCAGAGGCAGAGGCCGTGAAGGTGGACAGGTGAGGCAGAGTGTGCTGGGCTCAGCAGGGTACCAGGGTTTGCAGCAGGGAGTTGAGCCCCAGCATGGTGCACACCCCGCCTGGTCCAGGAAGGAGTCAGGGGCCCCAAGATGCCCAGGGGTGCCAACAGCCCTGGTAAACCCCAAATCCGTGACTGGTTGAGACCTTGGGGTGGCAGACATTTGCAGGCAGGGTGTCTGCCCGGAATCCGAGACACCTAACACAGCCCCCCTGTCCCGGGGTCCTGCAGGTGGGGACCCAGGCCCACGGGGCGGGGCCTCCCTGTCCTGTCCCTGCCTGGGACCTGCCCAGCACGGGAACCCTGCCCCTGGAGCCGCTGGCGCAGAAGGCAGCGGCTGTGGGTGTTGAGGGTGCACTGAGGGCTCCCCGTTCCGGATCTAGTTTAGGGGACAGGGCCTCAGGGGAGCCTGGCCAGGCGAGACACTGGTGGTGCAGCTGCCGCCGTGCAGCTGCCGCTTATGAACAAGCACCCACTGTGTGCTGCACATTCCCAAGTATTCACTCCTTGCACCTTGCTCTGCAAATGAGGGGTCACCCCAGCACTGGGAACAGAGCCCCAAGTCCCCCTCCCTCCGGCCCTGAGTGGCAGCAAGTGGGCCACCTCCTCTCCGAGATGCCGGCCCTGCCTGCCCAGCACCATCTGGGGAGCTCGCAAGGCTGCCTCTCACCTCTGCCCTCAGGGCATCTTCCCCGAGCTCCACCCCAACCAGGGAAGCCCCTCCCTCCGGGCCTCCTGAGCGCTTCCCACGCATTGCATTCCGGCCTTCCAGCCTCGCGGCACAGGCTGGGAGGACAACAGACAGGCAGACCAGGGCCGAGCCAGCCGGGCCCGGGGCGCAGATGTGAGGGCAACCTTTGGCCGCAGGAGGGGAGGCAGCCCAGGGCCGGTGCCCAGCAAACACGAGCCGGGCTCACTCCAACGCCCGGGCGGCCCAGGGCAAGGCAGGTGGGGACAGCACTGACCCTGCACCGCTGGAGGGGCCGCCAGGACTTCAGGATGCTGGGACCTGCCCTCCTGCCCGGGGGCACCGAATTCGGGGCTTTTCCTGCACCTGCCTGCAAGCCAGGTCACCCCGGTGCCCAGTGGCCCGGTGGGAGCTGACTTAGGGGGCCTGGCCCCTGCTCCCACAGCCTATGTGGTGCTCAGCGGAGCGAGACCCGACCGCACAGGCTTGTGGCACCCTGGTCTCCATCCCTCCTGGCCACACGGCCACCCGAGAGCTCAGCAGGGGGAACGGGGCGTCTTCCTGACCAGCCTGGCACTCTAATGCCTGCCACAGCTCCCAAGGTCCAGGGCAGCAATGCCCAGCAGGACCCTCTATGCCTCTGCCCTCCACACACCCAGCCCTGCCCCTGCAGACACCACAGGCACCCAACAGGGACTGCAGGACAATGGGGGTGCACCTCTGCCCACCCGCCTGCCGCCCTGACATGCCCACCCACCTCAGGCTGCAGTGGGCACCACCGGGGCTCGGGCTGCAGGGTGCTGGCGATGAGCCGCCCGCTCTAAGGACCTCACGCACATGACCCTCTGGGGGCCTCTCCCGGGCAACTCCTCACCACAGCTCGGCGGGGCCTGCCACACTCCGGGGAGGGGGGTGGTCTGTGCAGCGGCCAGGCGCAGGCGCAGGCAACAAGCCCGCACACCCCCCAGTCCCTCCGTCACGGGGCCTCGAACGGCTAAGCTACTGCTCTTTGCTCAGATCCAGAAACCGAGGGAGGCAGGCAAAAGCCACTGCCAGAGTCACATGGGCATCGAAGCGGCAGGCTGAAGCTCAATTCCACCTCTCTCCCCACCCTGCCAAGCCCTGGTTCCTGGCCCCAACTGCCACTGCTGGGGACGCAGCGGGCAGAGCCCAGGAAATCTGGAAAGCCAAGCAGGGCAGAAGGCTGCTGAGGGACTCTGGGGAGACAGGGAGGGTAAAGACGGGCAGGCGGGCAGGACTACCTGTGCCGGCAGAGCCCCAGGGCGCCAGCCTGGCGACACAGAGACCTGCCCTCTCCCCAGCCCAAGAGGTGCTGGACAGGGGCTCTGCACACTCAGCCACACCCAAGTCCCTGAAAACCCAGGACTGGCTCGGCCCAGGGCCACTGGGCAAATCCCAGGCCACCCGGGGTCAAGTGAGGCAGGCAAAGGGGCCCAGGGAGCCAGAAGTGATGGGGCACCTGCAGCCAGTCACTCTCAAGGCTGGGAGGTGCCCTTAAGCTCCATGTGGAGCCCGGTGAGCTATCCCTGGCCTGCCGCCACACGCTGTGTGACGCGTACGCCCTCCCTGGGCCTCTGCGGGCTGCATGGAAGGCGGGTCAGCACTGAACCACTCTCAACATGGGGTGATGCAGGTGGTGGGAGTCTGGTGTGCGCAGTTAGGGGTCCACGGAGGAGCCTGGCAGAGCCTCAGTTTCCCCAGCTCTGAAACCGTGAAAATGCTCAAGTACGTCAAAGGCAATGAGACAGGGCAGGAGGAGGGGGAGGGAAGACGGGAGACAAACAGGCAGCAGCACGGCCTCCCCCGATGGCCCCCAGCCCCAGAAGCAGCTGTGCAGGAAGCGGGGCGAGGCTGGCTGCCCCCCAGATCCATCCTTCCTCCTGCCGAGGCCCCATCCCGTGAGGCGGGGCAGGGAGCTGCGTGCTCCTCTGCCCGCGTCTTCATTCCAAGACGCTGACGGCCGGGATTCCTGGCTGAGTCAGAGCCGGGCCCACTAGGACCTGAGCTGCTGGTGCTGGCGGAGGGCAGCAGGCAGGCGTGGGGGGCCCAGGAGGACGGAGACCGAGACCAGAGGCAGCCCCGGGGCAGAGACCAGGGAGAAGCAGGCCAGGCCAGGGCTCACCATCTTCAGCTTGTGCTGCTGCAGGATGTCATCCAGGTTCTGCCGCTTCTTGTAGTTGAAGTAGAAGTTCTTACACTGCGACACGGTCTTGGAGCCCACCATGCGGGCGATGGCCGACCAGTTCCGGCCGTGCTCTAGGAGGCCTGCGGGCAGGCAAGGCGGCAGTGAGGGCGCAGGTGAGGCCAGGCCCTAGGGGACCCACACGGCCGGGAGCTCACGCTCAGGGAGACCCCTGAGGAACCTCGGTGCTGGGTGCCAAGCCCCAGGGCCGGGAGGCAGGGACGGCGGGGGTTGGCCCTAGGGTCCAGCTCCCTGCTGGGGCGGAAGGGAGAAGCCTGCTCGGGGACAAACAGGGTGACAGCCGGAGGGACCCGACAGGGCCACGTCCAGCCGTGGACACACCGGTCTGAGCCCCCAGGCCGACCCCACCCGCTGGCAGGAGAGCTGCTGACCCGGCCCTGACACAGGCGCAGCTGCACGGCCCCTAGAGACGCGGCTGTTTTCCGGCCACAGGGCTGGGGAGCGGGACTGCAGGGTGGAGGGTGGGGCGGGTGCGCTGGGATGGGGCCGGGTTTAACGGGGTGCCACGGGGCCTGAGCTCTCTTTGACTAACCAGAGCCCCACACTGGACTCTGGGCCCCCGTCCTAGGTGGGCGGTTGGGAGGCCTGGAGCCCCTAAGAGCATGCACAGCAGCCTAATGGATTGAGGGAAGGGTTTCCCGCAACCACATCGTAGGCCATTTTCCTTGAACCAAGCCGAGCTGCAGCGGGGCTGGGGCTGCCCTTTGGCAAGGCATGGGGTGAGGCATTCACTGTCATTCCTTCATCCATCCATCCAAACACAGGTCGACGGCTCCCCTCCCCCAAACGCTCCAGCAGCAGCAGCAGCAGCAACAACAACATAGCAGTGAACACATGGACACAGCCCTCAGTGGCCAAGTGACCCGGGAGTCTGCAGAGCCCACACGGACTTGGTCAGGCTTAACCTCGCTGTCCAGGCAGTGCTCGTTTCCTGTTCCCAGGATGGGGACACCAAGGCTCAGGGGGTCATCTGGCCTGAGCCACAAATGGGATGGAGGGACAGAGGGGCCTCTGGGCCCCACAGCAGGCGATGCACAGGCCACCTGCTCCCTGCATCAGCCACGGAGGCCACGTGGCTCCCCACAGCTCCCCGGGTTCCTCAAGGACAAAGGGGGCCATAGGATCAAGTGTAACTCAGCCCCTGACCTTTCCCTCCACCCGCAACAGCCAGCAACAGCAGCAGCAGCAGCAGCTGCTGCCACTTCCAGAACCTGGTGGACAGGGACGTGCGTTTATTTATATTTCCCCAGCCTGGGCCAAGAGAGCTGGGCAAATGCGTCAGGCCAGGGACGCAGGGCAGCCGGATCCCAGGGCGGCAGGGGGAGGAGGAGGTGCGGAGTGGGAGGGGCCTGAGCCGGGGTGGCCCGACCCGGAGGCTGACACTTCCAGCCCAATAAATAACAGGGCCCGTGTGGGGCGGCGCTGGGGGCCTCACCAAGTCCACTCCCAGGGTGGCGGGGCCGTTCAGCCCTTCCTGAAAACATGTGGCCCGGACAGTGCCGGGGAGCCCTCGGGGCCTGCTCCCCTCAAGCTGCTGAAGGGGCAGCAGAGCTCCCGGGATCGGAAGGGGGCCTGCGAGGCTCCCTCGGGTCCTGTTCCGGTCCCCGCTCAGTGCTGGGCACGGACAGCAGTGCTGCAGACCCGGTGTGGAGCCCGGCCAAGCCAGCCCCCGAGTCTGCCCCTGAGCCCCACCAGGGACCCCAGACTCCTTCCCAGAGAGCCCCGGCTGGACACCAGAGAGGCCGGGAAGGGGACATGGGGCGAGGGTCACACCGGATCCCCATCCTCAGCTGGGTCCAGGGCCCCTGCTCCCCGCCGCCCCCGGCAGCCAAGCCGCGGTTTCCTGCCACCCGGCCGCGTCGAGTCCCCTCGCCGCCCGCCGGCAAACCCCGGCCCGCCAGCGCCACTCACATCCTCTCATCCGCGTCTCCCCCTCGGCCAAGTTCTCCGGAAACATCCGGCCGGGAGGCGGCTGGGGAGCGAGGAGAAGTGGCGGGAGCTGCGGGCGGCTGTGGCTGCG